CCCAAGTATTCGCGGCAGGAAGTCACTTCCTGTCCGTGTTGGCTCGAGGTGCTCCTGGCGCCGTGTAGGTGATCATCCCCAAGGCTGGCCAGGCCGAAGAGTATCGTCAAGTCCCGTTTTCAACTCGCGCCTCTTGCTCCTCCTCGTCGTCATCGTCATCGTCGTCGTCATTGTTCTCGGGGAGGATCGGTGATAATGATGCGGCGACCGTGGCCTTTAGCTCCGTCCTAGCGAGAGCTGTGTTAATAATAAATAAAAAGAACACGTGTGTGTGCGCCGGGGGCGATCCCCAGTGGCGCGTGCCGGGGTCGTCCCAACAACCCCAGCAGTCTTACCAAAGTACACGCCGTTAAAATAATACGTTTAGGGACAACGTCACGTTCCACTTTCGTCAATAGAATGAGAGACGGAAACGAACGAGATCGTTCGCGAGCGTGTTCATCGAGCGCGAATGAACGGAGAGATTCACATCGAGACTTACACGAATGGGACTTAGGATCATTATGATGCGTGCGTTTGATTCATAGTTCTTCTTTTTTAATTTTATTCTCTGATCGCTTAGGCGTCGATGCTATTCTCGAAATTCGTGTGAGAATTTCCGACAGAGGAAGCGCAGAGAGTCGGGCTTCCGGTAGGTCTAGTCACTTGCGTTTATGGTCTACGCGCGCTAGCTCGCGAATCGCGCGCGTGGATTCTGAATTCAACATGGCAGGGAAAATTCTTAGTCTCGTAAAGATGAAGCATGAAGCAAAGAGTAACATCGACGAAACAGAGAGGATAAACAGTACGTAGATAGAGAGTATCTATTTCATGATCATTATTTGAAAAATATTTTTTGGATAATCGCTTTTGTCAGTTGTTCAAAAAAATTCAGAGAACAGCAGGGATTTATTGTTTAATAATAAACAAAGAATTTAGTTATCCAATACACATAGCACAGAAAATAATTGAACATCCAGCTGTTCTTTGATAATTTTTGATAAGTTAAAAAGAAACTTATCATGAATTTTTTTGTAAACTCGTTACATTTCGTAGAACTTATGTTATTGACAAAAAAGATAAATTAACGTTTAAAATTAAACGTTAAAGATTTAGAACTTTGTAAAAATAATCATGCTATATTAATCATGTTTGATATATATATTTAAATTTTTTTAATTGTGCAATCTTCTTTACAAGTTTTTATACAGATTGCAAACTTTCTCTAAGATAGCATTATTTTAAGAAGGTTAAAAATATACAAAATGAAACGGAGTCTTAAGTAACGTAATAATATAAATATAAATTGAGAGAGAGAGAGAGAGAGAGAGAGAGAGAGAGAGAGAGAGAGATGAGTTTTTATATATCGTGAATTAATTTTTATTTAATAAGATATTTATTAATTGGTTTATTAATTTTAATTCGAGAGAGAGAAAGAATCGTGGCTGCTACAGTAGCATAAGTTCTATGGCGAGTCCTACGTCGCGAGAGGACCTGTACTGAATCGAATAGTCGCGTGATCGATTTAAAATTGAAAGCGATTGACGTGCCACGAGTCCCGGGTGTATTATCTCCGATCGTCGTTCGGTGCTGTACATACGTATAGTACATGTACATACACTGTGCCTTCCCAGCTTCCCTTCTTGGTGCAGCGCGTACTCTCGGGAAACAAAAGTGCGCCACGTGCCAAGCTCGTTTCGCACGAAAAAAGAAAAAAAATTATGTCTCCTCATTCGGAGCTTTATACTACAGTAATACGATGATGTACTGTGATAAGAGTTTGATCGCGAGTCTTTTCTTTCTTCCTTTTTTTACGATTACGAAACAAGCGAGACAGCAGAGAGAGAGAGAGAGAGAGAGAGAGAGAGAGAGAGAGAGAGAGAGATGTTCGCGTATAACGGTTAATTAACGGAGGAGATTCTGTACATCGGAAATGAGGAATGAGATATCGCTGATAGTTTCACGAGGATCATCTCTCAGCTTACAATTAGTCACGCTAGTCGTCGAAACATTTCGACCGAGATGAAGGATGGCTTCTGTGTTGCTTTTTATTTTCTTCCAGATATAGCTATGCACGCCTCGCTGACTTCCGATGTACGGAAACTTGAAGAGGATTATATACGAGACGCATATATACGGACATTTTTTTACATACTCTGTAGAATATACGAATGAATTTGAAAGAAGGAAAGAGCGTACACGGTGTTCAGAACAATATGTCTAAATGCATACGATATAAACGTGTACCAGTCATACGTATTCATTCACGCAAGTACACGATACACAAAACACATACATGCGTACATGAAACACACATACACAACATATACAATCGACTGATCGACCCGTTATTTTCGACCATTAGTTTACTTTCGTACTACCGCTTTTATCGGACGTAAAAGTGGCCGTTACTTTGTAATAACAATTGAACGGATTGAGAGCTACGAGAAACGATATATTGTGATGCGTATACGCCGCTTAAATGTTATATATTGATATGTATACAGAGACGTATACAAAAAGATGTTCATAGGTAGCTAACTGTGTGTGTGTGTGTTGTGTGCGAGAGAGAGAGAGAGAGAGAGAGAGAGAGAGAGAGAGAGAAAGAGAGCGTGACAGTTGGATCATCGGCGAAAATAATTGTAACGAGGAATGAGAGGACGTCCGCCGACAGATTGTTCGCTTTGGACGACTCCGGTTTGCTTTTCGTAGTCTCTTTTCCCGCTGTTCTCCAACACGTTGTTGTGGTCGAGGTTCATCTTTGCCTCTTGTGCCACGATTAAGAACGTGCGCACCGCCTTGGAATGCGTTTGAAATGCTGTTACGTGCCTCTATCCGCGCGATGTAAGAGCTGCATTTGACAATTTATGAGACAGACACGTCGTTCGTATCCTCAAGGGAATCCGATTACAAGTAATTTAAGCCTACCGTCTTGAGCTTGAGGTACTAATATTTGTCAGCGACGTCCGTATCCTTATATTCGTATTATGATAATGTTATATTTGCAATAATTCGAAAAAAGACGACCAGTATAAATACGATAGGAATAATTTAGAAATAAAAAAAGAACTAATTAATTAACGAAAAATGTAATATGATGCGAGGAGTTGGTTTAACGATAATGAACGTAATTCGTGTCGATTTGCAGATCTACGTCATGGCGTATATTACGCGTACGCATACAAAATACGTAATGATTCATATTTGTACCTCTTTGTGCTCGTTTTATCGCGCTCAAGCATCCAAAAGAGCCGTCGCGGTCGTCGTACGTTAGGAACAAAAAGGAACTTACGAAGGCGCACTCTAAAATTAATGGTAGGACAGTCCTACGACGTAAATATCGTTGCGGGGACGTTCGGGCGTCTTCTTCCCCTGCGACATGCCTCGTCGCAATAAATGCGAGAGCGATTTCTCCTTCGTCTTGAGAATTTCGAGAGAGAAACGATCGCGAAAATGCGAAAAAAAATCGTATAATATAAATCTCTCCTCCTAAAAAAAACGCGAAACTTTGAAGGAGAAAAAACATCTACGCTTACAGAAAGTCCAATAGCAAACTCGCTTTAATAAATCTGTTTAATGAATTATTATCGGAAAAAGAAGCAAGAAAATAAGTTTATTTCATGGTATTCTTTTTTTGTCGAATCTTTTATCTCTCATGTGCATTAAAATTTTGCAGAGTTTCGTTTCTGTCTGTTTGGATGATTTTTAATAGAACGCTATTATTATAATTATGTTTTCTGTATCGTTGTCAATCTCGTCGACATTCTTCATACTGCTCTACCTTTCGTTTTTTTTCGAAACATCTGTAGATACAAAAGTGTTACTTATAGATTGTATCTGTACATAATATAAAGTGCGGAGAAATCTTTCGGGTTTCTTGATAATTTTTCGTGAATTTTTGTAGCGTCGTAAAAATGATCGAAAGCACGAGTCTACACTGATCTAAGTGGAAAAGGAAGTTCGGATGTGAATAATGTAATATACATCTTCGATAAAGACTTTTTTTCAAATAAGAAAGACTAAATACATCTGTTGTGTACATTCGTAAACTGCGTGGAACGTTTTTGCATTTCGACTGAAACATAGAAAACATAGATTCATCTAATGCATGGATTGTCTTCTTCACTCTACCTCTTCCTTTTGTTTTCTTTTTCCTTTGATATCCTTTCGCGCTTCGCTAGTTTATCCTTTTTTTACAATCCGCTTTTTTGGTCTTTCAATCATTTAATCTTGATATATTATCTTTTATTTACTTGATTTTCGGTGATCATCAATGCGAACTGTTTTGTCTAAAAATAATATTCAAATATATATATATATATATAAATAATTTTTTAACACATTTTTCATCCGATGTTTTCTTTAACGTAAAAGTTAATCTGTATGTGATACAGATTAATATCAATTTTATTATTTCACGCGCGCGTAATGAGAGAGATTGTTACGTCGGCAAATGACTGTTTTTCTGAAGCGCGTCAAGCAAGACTGAGCTTTCTGATTAAGAATAATTTATTCTTACGCCTATTCGTTGTGAGATTTATCTCAAACGGAACGATTGGCTTTCGCCAATAAAAGAGCCGGCCACTTGTTCGACGAGTTACCGTTTCTCTCGGGCGACGCGACGTGCTATTATCTAGTAGTAGTAATAACGAGAGAGTAATAACATTAATGTTAACGACCGAACGACAATTAGAGCCGTTTGCTAGCGTCTACTAATTCATAACTGCTATCGGCCGACCGACCACTCCACGTGTCTGTGGGCTAGGTTTAAATAATCTTTAAACCATAGACACACAACATGCAATACGATAGTTCCTCGTTAGCGAGATTAGATGCCTTCGAGTCTTACTTAATTGACGGTTTATCATTAAGATCAGAAATTGATTTCAAAATTTATTTGCGCGGAGAGAAAAAAAATACGTGACAATAAAATAGAGGTTGCCGAGGGAGAGGGGGGGAGGGGGGAATTTCACGGGAAATATTCGTAGATGGAGGTAAAATGGAACGACGAGCCAAAGGTAAAATTACGCAAATGAATGAATGAAGGCAGCTGATTTCCCTATAAGGACCCTACGTCTGTGACACATAGTGCCTTTATATAGCCGTTCACTGTTTACATTTAATTAGTGTTTAGAACGAGAGAGACAATTAGCGGTTATCACGCGTATCCGTAAATACTACTGTTACAGATAAGTACTGTAAGCGCTTCATCGGCATCGGTATTACGATATTTCCGTTTTTGGAAAAGAAAGAAAAGTAAGAGGAAACCCCCTCGGTTCATACACGTATCTTTCCTCCTTCCAAACTCATTGATCTTGTCTCCTCTTCATTCGAAATTAACAGTATACACCAAATGGACTGAACTTTGAGTAAAAAGAACAAGAGAGAAAAGATTTTGAATTTATAAATCTATAGATGAATTTCGACGATTCCTGCCGTGTCCTACGTTCTAGGGGTACACTTTAAGCCCGTTAGAATGTAACGAATAAACGAATAGTGCCTTACCACGAGATACTGTGCTTTTTAAAAGTTCAAATAGTCGGGGAGTAGAGAGACACGCTTTATAATACGGACGACTTAGATTTTTCCTAATCGCGAATGTGCGCTTCAAATCGTAATCTTGCGAAATTGATAAAAAATTTGTTCTTCGCCATCGCAGATGATTTATCGATTGTGATCGTCTCTTTAAAGATCGAACGATTTTTATCGCAAACTCGTCGACGAATTTGGAAACTTAAAGAAAAAAATGACCTAAGAAGAAGAACATTTCTAATTGCTTGCGTTCGATTGAGAAAAATTCTCGACAAATTATC